GAGGCAGCAATGCAAGTGGGCAGCAATGTTCTATGGGCACAGGGCAACTCAAACCACAAATTTTATACACAGGAAGAGCTGGCCTCATCAGAGGATGCGGCAGCTTGTTGGCTATCATAGTACAGAATCCTACCTTCCCTTTGCTTAGAACAAATGATTCTTTCAATTAATAAAAATGCAAAGTGGAAATCCAACACATCATGAGGTCAGAGTCACACCAGTTCTAGATTTCTGAATTTACAGATTGGCTGTGCTGTTGCTTATGTCTTTTCTTTAAAAATTATTGCAAAGCAACACCTTGAAATTTGTTTGTTGATTTTGATACAGAGTTCAAAATTTGTTGATTTTGATACAGAGTCTCACTCTGTCACCCTGGTGCGATGGTGAGAGTGTGATGGTGTCACAGCTCACAGCAACCTCAAACTCATGGGCTCAAGAGATCGTCTTGCCTCAGTCTCCCAAATAGCTGGTGGGATTACAGGTGCCCACCACAACAGGCTAGTTTTTAGTTGCTGGTCTTGAACTCCTGAGGCTGGTCTTGAACTCCTGAGCTCAGGTGATCCACCTTCCTTGACTTCCCACAGTGCTAGAATTACAGGTGTGAGCCAGCACACCCAGGCCCCTTGAGATTTGTTACGAGTAGGACCATACCTGCAAAATGTTCAGAGCCCTGCGCATATCTCCACTGGAAAGAGTCACAAGCGCTTTCATTCCATCTTCACTTATGTCAACTCTGAAAAGAAATAAGCAAAAGGGATTTATGGCGCCGCCTGAGAGCACAAGGATTCACCAAGAGGAACAAGATGGCCTGGAACAATTAAGGCTTTAAAAGAATGAAAGAATAGAGAACAGAGTTAATACTCTCCTAATCCATATGATCTAGAATTCACTCTGATTTTTCAGGACATAGGCTTCACATTAGTAGTCATGGCCCACTCAAAACTAGAATGGCTGGTACTTATACCAAACATTCTTACATTGAGTAACTGGCTTTGAATTATATTCTCTGGGTGGTCCCTGTGGCTCAAGGAGTAGGGCGCCAGCCCCATATACCATAGATGGCTGGTTCAAACCTGGCCCTGTCCAATAACTGAAAAAAAAGAAAAAAAATAAGAATTATATTCTCTGGGGGAGGAAAGAGGCCCAGCATGAACCATGATCACAGAGCTAAAACACCCCTTTAGAATAAGTAGCCACTTGAGTCGGCTACTTGCCTGTCATCTCATTAAATAGAATGTGGTGTCTTGGAACCTTCCCTTGTAGTCAAAAAAGGCTGGAAGCATCTTTGCAGAAGGGACTCAGCAGCCTCCATTTTCCAATGACAGAGTAGGAGGAAATAGGACAGGTTCCAGGGGAGGAGGATGGAATCAAGAAAAATCATGAACCAAATGACTTTTATAAGGAGGAATGGCTGTGAAGTACCAGAGAAAACGAAAGCAGTGAATAGTCCCCAGTGCTTACCCTGTGCTAGGCAAAAGGTGTCAACAAATGACCCCTTTAAATACGAAGGAGCCAGTCACCCCAGAACCCTACTCACACTACACTCCTCCCCAAAGGCTCTCGATATACTCACTTCTCTTCTTCTACGACATGTTCCAGGCGGGGAACCATGAGTTCTGGAGTCAGGGGACCAAATCGGAACCTTGTACACCGAGACTGCAAAGCAGGGATGATCTTTGACAGATAGTTACAGATGAGGCAAAATCTGGTATTTTCAGTGAATTTCTCAATCACTGGTGAGGGAAAATAAAATCACCTTGTATCAAAGTCCCTTCTGACACTTCAAAAGACCCAGAAGCCCTAACCTTTTCTGTGGAAAAGGGGATAGGAAAACATTCAAGGATGCCAACAAGTCGTGTGGACACACACTGGTGGAGGATCAGAGGCCAGACAGTCCTTTCAAAAGCTGATGAACATGCCTCCATGGGATTTTACAAAATGTTGCCCTTTTTTTTTTTTTTTTTTTTACAATTTGCTGATTCTGGTACTTTTGCTACCTCATCTCATTAAGGAAAGAGACTTATCCCTGCCCTTTATGTAAAATTACATTTGGCAGTTTGGTCTAGGGGAAGGGAAGGGATGGTTTTTTTGCAGACTTTCCAGTGAATGCTGTCTGGAAGCCTTATTACTCAAGGGAGCAATAATCCAAACTGAGAGATGCTTAGGGCACCAGTTTCACTCTGTAGGTACCCAATGTTCCCACATAGGGATCTGCCCAGAGTGACAGGCACTCCATGCAGAACAAGAAGCTAAAGAAAGGTTGCCAAAGCTTCTAGGACCAAAAGATACTCTGTCCTCCTCTTCTTAAACATGTGCTCTGATCCTCTTCTTCCCCACCCCCGACTCCTAAAGATATTCTCTCCCATAGCTAATTCTCTTGGAATCTTAAAGAGGGAGATTGTAAGTATCCTCCATAAGAAATGAACAGCGCCAGCCATCTCAGGACAGGCAAATCAGAGGACATTCTCCCTTCCGTGGCAAGTAGTGAAGTAATGTCAACTTTCTGAGTGCAACTAAACTTAAGATACCCTTTTCCTGGCAATTTTGTATGTAAGGATATCGAAAGAAAAAAGGACTTCCCAGTAGTTTAAGAATGAAAGATGTCCCATACCCTCCCACATAATGATAGAAATCCCCAACCCTGAAAGTGAACTCAGGGGAAAAAGCATGAAACGTCATTGACTGGTCATACTTAAAAGTCTCAATGGGGCTTAAGTGTTTAAGCTGCTGAAAGGAGAACCCCCCCCCCCCCACAGAGGTGTCTTGTCTGGATCATCAGATGCAATTCACAGAGAGAAGTGCACAGAGGTTTCTCTACACCAGATGAGCAGAAAACACACCACACTGAATCTCACAGCCAGTTCCTAATTCTTCCAGTGCACTAGTCAGCCCATGCACTGTACAGAACAGCTCTTCCTACCTCTTCTCAAGGCATTCTGGGCATCTTGAGTCATGGCATCAGCTTCATCCAAGATCACTAGTTTAAAGCCTTTCCTAGAAAAATACACAACACTGTCTAAAGATTTCTTCCCTCTTACTTCAATGTCTGGGCCCAAACATACCTCTTCCCATTTGTGCCATTGGGCCCTATCTCAGAAAGGCCATTTCTCCTAGAATTTTGAACAAAACAGACATCTTAGATCATATAGAAAAGAAATGTCCCATCACTCCTTCAATGTTAGCAGGAACTGAGGTCTAACCTCTGTACTTCTCATGTTGTATCCTCTGGAGTGTCATCTTTCTTCCACAAAGTACCCTATTACACTGTCTGCTTTCTCCACTTCCTATACTTAGGCCTGAGTCTTTTTGCCTTTTTTCTTCACGCTACCACCCGATTTACCCTTCCCAATCTCTATTTTTGTTAAACTAGTTCATCTAATCTTAGTTAGGGTGTAACTTAATCAGTTCTCAGTCACTAATAAAATGAAGTTACTGCTTCCCTGAGAACTGGCAGTTACTGATGTAGATGATGTTTTGTTTTAACATTTGCATCACTATACTTCTCACTACCAGCCCTGTACTTACTCTCTTTGCCAGGGCTACTTTTGGCAAAGTCATTTTTTTGTTTTTTACCTTTATAAACTGGCAAAGAGGAAGATTTAAAAAATTAAGCTATGCCACCTCATTGTTAAAAATCTGTAGAGAGAGAAGTTTTACCAATAATTCTTACTTAAATATTGTTCTTGTGCTAGCAAAGCTCAGGATTGGTCCCCGGACGATATCTATTCCTCGGTCATCTGAAGCATTCAGCTAAATGTGGAAGAGAGAAGTCAAAATAAAAATGTGTCCATGAATTCTTAGTTTTAATGTGTCTTTTCATCAATTCAGCTCAGCAAACTAGCTTCCTAGGTCTGATCATGGCCCACAGATAATCATAAAAAACTAATCATAGCTATGCTAAAAACTCACTAAATCATTACATCATGAAAGACAAATGGTATTTTGTACCCACTCTTTGAGGATAATCACTTCAACATAAATTGGAGAAATAACTGGTCTGAGCACATTGAACTCACTGCTGGCATGAGCAGGACGATGCTAATTTTAACAACCACAACCCAGAGGTTACCAAGTTTTTAATACACTGAAGTAAGGACATTAGTAGCAGCAAAGTTCTAAGCTCCATATCTAAAAAGAAAGTTAAACATTTTTCTTGCAATTGACAATATTTAGATTTTTGTAAATCTAAAGATATCTTAGATATCAGTTAAGGTCCAAGCAGTATACACATGGCATACCTGAATGCAATAATTTGAAGAGAAGTAAACAAAGACATTTTTAAAGGTGTTGGTGAGGGTGAGGGGAGACCACAGGGCCGTGCGATGTCTATCATTACCCCTGAGCCTGAGGCGTTAGAGAGTGGCTGTAGGCAGCTAGAAAGGGCTGTACCACCTGTTAGATGTGCCCAACCCATGTTAACCCCCCAGGTCAGGTCTAGTCATCTTTAACTTCCTTCCCCAACCCCTGCCAGATCCCCTCTTGGACAAACCCAACGAGGAACCAGAGGGCAAAGGAGCTTATAGTCAATATAGCTCAGGCTTTTGGGCAAAGAGAGGAGAAATGTGGAGAAGAGGCCTGGAGGGGCACAGAGCAAACAGGCAGCAACTGAGTGACCACAAAGTGGGGTCTGAACAAAAGTTAGCAATAAAAAGAAGGTCTAGCCCTACAACTGCCCTCTCACCGACAAATGCCAATCCAGACCTAAATGACCTTTATGGGAAACAGTGAATTGAAATATCTCACTTCAAATTTACTTCTTTTCCAACTACCAGTGGGGCAACTTTCTTTTAAAGTAAAATAAAATTAGCAGAACTAAAGTTAAGAGACTGGAGTCCTTAGTTGAATGATCCTATTTACCTCTAAGACCATGGAGCCAAATTCTTTATCTTTGTATAGCCGTTTTGCACAGGCTAGGATGGTAGATGTCTTTCCTGTCCCTGGAGGACCATAGAAAAGCAGATGTGGCAGTCGGTCTTCACTGATAAATTTCTGAACTAAGGATCAGGAAGGAAGAGGGACACCATCAGTCTTTGGGAGCTACCTCACTCATGCCCACAATGAATGCCCAATTCAATGTCCAAATTAGAGGCAGATGTGGTTTGAGGTTAGGTGCCTGGTCTGTGTTCCTAGTGCAACTGGGATTCATTCAATTGTGCAGCAACAAATATTTATTGAGTGCTATCTGTGTTACAGGTACCTTTCTGGGTGCTGCTGACATCTGTGAACTTAAACAATTGTCTGTAATGCTATTTTTATGCTTATGTTTATGATTTACCCACTGGACTATAGCTATCTGAAGAGAAGGAATTAAAAATCTTAAAGCCACATTCTGAAAAACTAAATCAGATTCTTCAAAGTTATCACTCAGCAAAGACAATATCACCAAGAAATGTATACAGATCATTCAATAAGAACAACTGACACACGATACTTACTGGTACTTAGAATGTCTTGATGAGAAATGAGATCATTCAGTGTTTGGGGCCGGTATTTTTCAACCCTGAAATACAATTTAGCAGGTATTACAATTTATGTATATAAATGTGAGAATATTGTGTTATGTGCAAAAGAATCCTTCCAAATCCTAATTAAAAAAGGAAAGGAAACACAGCCCTTTAAGTTTGAATACAGAACAGTGGTCCTCAACCAGGAGTGATTTTTGTCCCCCTAGGAACATTTGGTGATACCTGCAGGTACTTTTAGTTGTCACATCTAGGCAAAGGTGCTACTGGCTTCTAACGGTAGGCTCCAGGGAAGTTGCTAAACATGCTACAATGCACAGGGCAGCTCCCCTCCTCACACTTCCTCAGAGTATCTGGCCCAAAATGTTGATAGTGCTGAGGCTGAAAACTGTTCCCATCTCTCCTTTCCAGCTGTCTGCCTATAATCTCAACCTGGATGGGGATCTATTATTTCAATGAGTTTGAAATTAAACTCCTCCCCAGATATCCACCAACAGATAAATGGTTACATAAAATGTCGTCTAGCCAATGGAAGACGATTCAGCCATAAAAAGAAATGAAGTAGTGATACAAACAACAGCATGGGTGAACCTTGAGAACATTATGCTAAGTGAAAGAAGCCAGATAAAGGGGGCCACATACTCCATGACTCCACTACACAAAATGTCCAAAATAGGCAAATCCACAGACAAAGAAAGGAGATTAGTGGATGCCCAGAGCTGAAGAAGGGGAGAATGGGGAATGAATGTCATTGAGTTTGGGACTTCCATCTGGGATGATGAAATTTTTGAACCAAATAGTGGGATGGCTGCACAACATTCTGAATGTACTTAATGAACACTTTAAAATGGTTACAACTGTAAATCGTATTATTGTTTTTTAACCGCGATAAAAACAAATTGAACTCGTTATTAGACAAGAACTTGAAATTTTTTAAAATCCAGCCTAATCTCATGTAAGTCTTTAAAGCATCAATAGGACATGTTGTTGAAGTAGGATGGTTGAAAGTACAAATTCCGAATTCAGACTGTCTGGGTTCAAATCCAAACCTATTTTCTACTCTTGAACCTTAGACAAGCCATATACCCTTTCCAAGAGGTAGTTTTCTCATGTGTAAAATTCGAATAATGGGGCAGTGCCTATCAGAGTCTGTAAAGATCAAACCTCTAAACAAGATGTCTGCTAATTCGACAGCCATTCAATACAAGTTAACCAGGGAGAGTTATTAGTTGCATCGAGGATTCTAGCGAGAGGGAAAAGGCCATTTCGGCATAGAAACCAATGCAAGCTGTCAGAAGACACGGCATAGAACCCCAGTGCTGCCACACAGGTACGAAAACCGCTTTCTTTTTCCGCAAACAGAATGCGGGGAATGGATGAAACCCGGCAAAAGTCCAGGGGACTGGGGAGTTGGCGGGCGTCGAGGAAAGCCTCTGTGGCCTGGCCCAGGCCGCAAGTCCTGGGGTCTGGCCACCTTGGCCGCTCGGTCCCCAGCCTCCCTGCTCGACCGCCGAGCCTCCTCCTACCAGGGTAGGTTCCTGATCTTGGTCCCTGCAGGCTGCTGCTCCTGCTGCTGCTTGGGCGCTGAGGCCTCCATTGCAAAGAGACGAAAGTGACCAGCTCCCCAGTGGTCCCTGATACCGAGATCTGACCCCCCGACCACCCGCCCACGCTTAGAGATCGCGCGCAAAACAACTCTCGCGATATTTGGTCGCCTGCTCCCGACTTCCTGTCTTAGTCCCGCCTCTTCCGTTGCTAAGGCGCCGGTTGCTACGTTACCGGGCCGCGCAGTCCTCCCGCCTCCCTCCGGCTCCGCCCCGCCAGCCTGCTCTTGAGTTCTTCCCAATACCCAGGGGCCGGCCCGAGAGGGGGAGCGGCAAGGCCACCCCTGCAGCCACCGATCATCTTTACACTCACAGCCAAAGCCAATTCCATTCATTACCCAGATTCAAACAGAAACTTGCCAGGACTAAGAAGAAGCAAAAATCAACCCTAAGTGACACGGCCGTTTCTTGACTATAGATGCCCATACAAAAAAGGCTGCAATAATCTTGGGCCCCAAAGTTGGCAGGTGAATGTTTAGAAGTAAAAACCCCCAAACAAAACAGTTCCAACCTATCTATTTCCTAAATCTAGGTCCACCAACAAAAGGTAGAGAGGCAATCTCCAGGAAACGAACAACCCTTTTAATTGAGTTTAGTGTGACCTGAGGTGGGTAATGAAGAAACACAAAGGACGGGGTCCCTGTGATCTGAGATACTAAGGAGAAACTGTATCAAGTTTTTCCCTGAGGTGAGGGGATTCTGGATCTCCTGCTTTTTATTCCTTTTGACTGCTCCGTATTTTCTGGCAATGAGTGTAGATGTATAGCATCATTAATAACGGGTATTTTTAGTTTTTTTTGTTTTTTTTGTTTTTTTAACATGATGAGAAAAACAAAAATCTTGGATGGAAATGTAGCTGGCCTGGGGTCTGCAGTCATCTGATTCAGAGTTATCTTGCATTTGATTACATCACTGTCACCTGCTTCAGGAACAGAGTAGAAGGGCAGTGGGCAAAAATATGCCCCATTCTCAGCTTCCTTCCAAGGTAATATTGGTTGTTCAGATCATTCACAGGCCACTTTGTCCACTTATCCTTGGGCAAGTTGCTTCGCTGTTCATTGGATAATATCTACTCAAGGACTAAATGAAACAAGTGCAAACCATATGGTACAATACCACCCTACTCTTTCCTTTCCTTTTAACATTCTCCACTGCTCCTGTTATGGTTTCAGTTTTTTCCTTTCAAATAAAACCTAAAGCATTGGCAAGTGGGACTAGGCCATAACCTGGGCTTTGTTCAACTAACCACCATGGTAAGAGCCATCCTGTGCTAACCCTTTGCGTTAGAAGCATGATGCCGCCACCTCATTGAGCTGAAAGGTTAAAACAAGACCGGAACAAATTCTCATAAAACTCTGTGTGCACCTGCCAGTCAGTTTCTTGGAATACAGAATGCTTCAATGAGACATTATATTACAAGGTCATCTGTTTTGTGCCTCCTCAGTGAATTGAATGCTCTTTGAGAAGAGAAATTTTGACTTATTCATCACTGTATTCTGGTCTCAGAAACAGTGCCTGGCTCAAAGGAAAGACCCAACTAACAATTGTTTAATGAATGAATGAATAGTAATAGCTAATATCCATCAGGCATTCACTGTGGGCCACTGTTCTAAGTGTTTTACATTAATTATGTTCATTCAACTGTTGCAAGAAGCCTAAGTTACTATCATTGGCCCCACTCTGTAGATTTATTAAGTAACTTGTTCACATTCTCACTTAGTGTGGGGGCAGACCTGGATCTTACCAATACAGTCTGATTCTTTAGCCCA